CCATGGTGTTCAAATTTTTACTAGAGCAGTAGTTTTCAAAATGTGATTCCTGGACCAACACTATTAACATCCCCTGGGAATTGTTAGAATGCAAATCATCAGGCCCTTTTCCAGACTTAGTGAACCAGAAACTGTGCAGTGGAGCCAGGAATCCTGATTTAACAAGCTCTCCAGGTGATTATAAAGCAGGAGGAAGATGCAGAACCATATTAGTAACACCTGGGAGATTGTAACACTACCAATGCCCAGGCCCAGGCTCAGACCAATTAAACCAGAATTTTTGGAAACAGGATTTTGGCAACAATATAGTTTTCAACGCTCCCCAGTAGAGAACCATTGCCTTAGAGAGTACCTTTTCACTCTAGAAAAAGAAGCCAACTGGCTGAGTGTCAAAACTAACCCTCACTCAATGGATCAGTTGAATTCTGCATTTGTTTGTTTTACTTCTTTTACAATTAAAGTGGTTTTTTTTAAGAAGTTTGAAACCACAAGCTGAGTACAATCAGTCAAGGTTGATTAATTCCACTTAAACCATTAACACCCTTGTCAGCAGATCAAAACCCTGAGGAAATAGGGACCCTTCAGGTTAATTTGTGTTTATGTGGCAAGGGGGAAAGGAGGGTGACTATCCTAACCCGTAGGGCACAGTTAGGACACCTCAACCGCGGAGAATCTGGAGAAAGGGCCAGGGCCCTAGTGAGAGAGAAGTTGGGGAGAATCCTACCATTGGAATATAGGCAGGCCCAGACAGGAGTTTAAAAGAACAAAAAAGCGGACGTGGTGTCACAGACAAATTTCACTTGCATCAATCAGAATTTACCTGAGGCCAGCCTTGTATAGCCAAATGGAGACTAGTAAGACAGAAAGATAAATTATCTCTGAAATTATTTTACACAATAGTGGGAAAACTTTTTAAATTTGCTGACATTAAATGTACATGCACATTTTTAGAGGTTTATCTTAGCAAGGTTGCGTCTAAGCACCACCACAAAAAGTTCTTTGGAATAAGAGCCTGGGTGTTTACCAGTAGGGAAATAACAGGTTGTTTAAAAGGAAATCTTTCCCAAGTTCGGGATGGGAGCTGGCATCAGAGAAAGAGGGAAATCTAGAACTGTTATTAGTTTCTCTAGCAACGAGATTTCAAAAGATTGTACAAAAGTTCAGTGAACATTCTTACTGTTTCCATTCTTCATAAAAAGAATAGACTTGCAAAAACCGAGACTGAGTGATTTAGCAATTGAATTAGAAAAGATAAATGTTGGATATTCTGGGTTTTTAAAATGTAATAAAAATTAGATTAGTCGCCGGGTGCAGTGGCTCACGCCTGTAATCTCAGCAATTTAGGAGGCAGAGGTGGGTGGATCACCTGAGGTTGGGAGTACAGGAACAGCCTGGCCAACATCAAGAAACCCCGTTTCTAGTAAAAAATACAAAATTAGCCGGGCTTGGTGGTGGATGCCAGTAATCCCAGCTACTCGGGAGGCTGAGACGGGAGAATCGCTTGGACCCAGGAGGTGGAGGTTGCGGTGAGCTGCGATCACGCCATTGTACTCCAGCCTGGACAAAAGAGGGAAATTCGGTCAAGCAAGAAAGAAAGAGAGAGAGAGAGGAAGGAAGGAAGGAAGGAAGGAAGGAAGGAAGGAAGGAAGGAAGGAAGGAAGGAAGGAAGGAAGGAAAAGAAAAGAAAGAGATTAGATTAGTTTAATTCCATTTGAAGACACTTAGTGATAAAGTTACATGTTCCAGTATTTGAAGCTGTAGCTTTGCATAAACAATAAATAATAGGATTTTGAAACTTGGCCCAAGCATATAAAATACTGCAAATACCAAGAAGTAGCATGCAAAAAGAAGAAAAATAGTTGAGATTTCAACAGAGATTTTCTTATTTTTTAAGATAGCATGACAATGTGCTTTAGTTTTTCTCCTAAATGTGCTTTAGTTTTTTTGTTGTTTTTTTTTTTTTTTTTTTTTTTTTTTACCCCGAGATGGAGTCTCACTCTGTCGCCAAGGCTGGAGTGCAGTGGTGCAATCTCAGCTCACTGCAAACTCCGCCTCTGGTTGAAGTGCAGTTCTCCTGCCTCAGCCTTCAACATAGCTGGGATTACAGGCATGCACCACCACACCCAGCTAAGTTGTATTTTTTTAGTAGAGTCGGAGTTTCACCATATTGGCGAAGCTGGTCTCAAACTCCTGACCTAGGGTGGGCCATCTGCCTTGGCCTCCCAAAGTGCTGGGATTGCAGGCATGAGCACCACACCTGTCCTAAAAGTACTGATTTAGAATAATGAATAAATTCTAACCTATGGAATTTGTTTAAAATTACAAAATGCGTAATATTAACAAAGAGATAAAGAATAATTCAATAAGTATACTTGAACTACCTCGAGAATTAAACATTACAATCCAGTTAAAATCCCCTATATCTCCCTCCAGGATTCACTTCCACTTTCAACCACAACCATAGGGGTAATCATTATCCTTCATGTTTAATCATTATTCTTTGTGGTTTGCAAATCAACAAGGAACAGGAAATCTAAAAGAGGCAAAGGATGACCAGTCGCAGTGGCTCATGCCTGTAGTCCCAGCACTTCTGGTGGCTAGGGCAGGCAGATTGCTCAAGCTAAGGAGCTTGAGACCAGCCTGGGCAACATGGTGAAACCCCGACTCTACCAAAACACAAAAATTAGCTGGGCATGGTGGTGCGTGCCTGTAATCCCAGCTACTCAATAGACTGAAGCAGGAGAAACACTTGAACCCAGGAGATGGAGGTTGCAGTGAGCCGAGATTGTGCCACTCCCTGCACTCCAACCTGAGCGACAGATAGAAACCCTGCCTCAAAAAAGAAAATAAAAAAGGATGCAAAATAAGATTCTATCACAATACCATTTATGTAAGTTAAGATCCGTGCACACAAAACAAGATGCACATCAAACACATCAGAATGGTTGTGGAGGTCGGGGGAAATGTAGAAATAGCAAATAGGAATAGAAGAGAATAAAAAAGAAATCCACAGTGGGTGAATAATGTGCCACAAACTAAGGAGTATAATTAACTCAACCTGAGTTCAATATAGTTTAAAAGAAATCTGCATCCCATCCTAGAAGAAAGACAACAATCAAAGCTGGTTTTCTTCTTCCATTACTAGTATCCTCAGTATCTCCCATTACCTCACTCTTAGACTCCTAGCTAGTGTCCCATTCTCTTCAGATAATTTTTGCTGAGGCAGGGTTGTCATACCTTGCTGTGACTCAGAACACCTGGGGAGCTTGTTAAACAATACAGATCTGGAGGTAGCTGGCCATTTAAGTTCTAATTTAGTAGAGTCAGGGTGGAGCCTGGATATTTATATGTTAAACAAGTTCCCCGGGTGCAAGTCAAAGTTTGAAAACCTCTGTGATCTACTCCCCATCCTTCTAGAGCAGCCCCTAAGATTTCTTAAAGAAAAACAATTTAGGCCGGGCTGGATGGCTGTAATCCCAGCACTTTGGAAGGCCCAGGCAGGTGGATTATGAGGTCAGGAGGGAGACCACCTGCCAACATGTGAAACCCCGTCTCTACTAAAAATCCAAAAAATTTGCCTGGCCTGGTGGTGGGCTCCTGTAATTCCAGCTACTTGGGAAACTGAGGCAGGAGAATTGCTTGAACCCAGGAGGCGGAGGTTGCAGTGAGCCGAGATCCTGCCACTGCACTCCAGACGGGGTGACAAGAGGGAAACTTCATCTCAAAGACAAAACAAAACACCCTTGTCTCAAGAAAAACAATTTAAGCCTCAAATGAATCTAGCACTAATAATGGAATATCAGATTTTAGGACCGATATTTTCAACCTTTTTGCATTCATATATCACCCCTTGATTGGTGAACTTACCATATACTTCACTGATCAATTAGAAGCAGTCAGGAGGGCAAGCCCCCACTGTCTCCACCCAACTCCATTAAAAAAGGTGCATCTATTAATAGATTTGCCCTCCCTTCCTACTACTGTGAAATGTCACTACTCCTTACTGAAAGCCAATCTCCTTAAGCCCTCAGCAGCTTCACCCCTGTATCTCTTTTGCATCATCAATACTTCCCTCTGTACTAAGTCATTTCCATCAGCTTACAACCATTTCCTAGTGTCTCCCATCATTTCTTGCCATTTTTAAAACATAGTGGTAAAATACACACAAATTTCTTACATAGAATTTTCTCCATCTTTTAAAAACTCTCATTTGATGGATAAAGAAACTGTGGTATATGTATACAATGGAATACTACTCAGATATAAAAAGGAATGAATTAATAGCATTCACAGCAACCTGGATGACATTGGAGACTGTGAAGTAATTCCAGAATAGAAAACCAAACATCATATGTTTTCACTCATAAGTGGGAGATAAGCGTTGAAGATGCAAAAGCCTAAGAATGACACAATGGACTTTGGGAACTCAGGGGGAAAGTGTGGGAAGGGATTGAGAGATGAAAGACTATAAATTGAGTGCAGTGTATACTGCTCGGGTGATGGGTGCACCAAAATCTCACGGATCACTAAAGAACCTACTCATGTAACCAAACACCTCTTGTTCTCCAATAAACTATGGAAATTTTAAATAAATAACTCTTCTTTGAACTCAAAAACTACTAAATCTGACTTAATAATCTACCCCCTTTTCAAGTCACAGTAAAACTTTTCAAGAGTCCAACCTCGAGAGATGGAGTTTCGCTGTGTTGGCTGGGCTGGCCTCGAACTCCTGACCTCAAGTGATCCGCCCTCCTGGGCTTCCCTAGTGCTGGAATGATGGACGCAAGCCACCAGGATTTCACCCTTTAAGAGCAAGTGCAAGAACCTGGCATGGTGGCTCACATCTGTCATCCTAGCACTTTGGGAGGCCCAGGTGGGAGGATCACGAGGTCGAGAGTTAGAGACCAGACTGGCCAACACGATGAAACCCTATTTTAAAAAGTATAAATAAATAAATAAATAAATAAATAAAAAGTCCAACCTCTCCATTTTCCTTCTTCCCATTTTGCCTCTCTCCCATCTCTCTCCAGTTCAGTTTTTGCCCCAAGATTCAACGATCTCACCTTATTTCATTTAATTTCTCCTTGTCGCTTCACATGGTTGTCCAGATTTCTCCTTGACTCATAGTTTTCACTGACCTAACAATCACTGGTTTGTCTCCCTTCACCGACTGCTTTCTTGAAATCTCCTTTGCCAACCTCTCTGCTGACCTCTACATATTAAAAGTTCTAAATCCACACTTCTTCACAAATCTGACATCCCTTCCATTGCTCTATATACAAAATATATCCCAGATTTTCACCACCTCCACCCTTACCTGACTCATCCAAGCCATGATCACGTCTCCTAAACTACCGCTCTAGCCTCTTATCTCTTAGTCCTAACCCTTGCAAACCATTCTCCACAAAACAATCAGAATCATCCTTTTATTTTTATCTTCTTGAACTTTCAAACTGCAAATGTAGAATAATATAATGAGTTCCACTACCCATCACAACATTAATTAACATATGGCCAATCTTTTTTCAACTACATCCTCCACTATACCTTCTCCTGGCTGGATTATTTTAAAACAAAGCTATGACATCATTTTGTCCACAAATTAGAGTGTTCCTTTGAAACATAAGCCAGTCATGTGCTAGGGTGTCTCATGCCTCAGTTTGCCAGACCTGTCCCAGCTTTAAAACTGAAGGTTCATTCTTTATCCCAGGAAACCCCTCAGTCCAAGGCATTTTGTGATCATTCAGATAACTTCTTTTTTTTTTTTTTTTTTTTTTTTTTTTTTAGACGGAGACGGAGTCTTGCTCTGTCACCCAGGCTGGAGTGCAGTGGCACAATCCCGGCTACCTGCAATCCCTGAGTTCAAGCGATTCTCCTGCCTTGGCCTCCTGAGTGGCTGGGATTACAGTCATGCACCACCATGCCCGGCTAATTTTGTATTTTTAGGAGAGACGGGTTTCACCACATTGGTCAAGCTAGTCTCGAACTCCCGACTTCAGGTGATCCCCCACAACCTCGGCCTCCCAAAGTGCTGGGATTACAGGCGTAAGACACTGCACCCAGCCATCATCTTAGTTTTCTAAACATTCTTTGATGTAATTTGAGATATACAGAAAAGTTGCAAGACAAATATAAAGAATTCCTGCATACTTTTCAATCAGATTCCCTGAATTTTAACATCTTGCCACATGTTTCATCATCCTCTCTCTATATATGTATACACGTTATTTCTTTCTATATACTGTTTGGAAGTAAGTTGCAGATGTGAAATCCTTAACACTTTAATGTTCTAAAACCCCAGGGTCCAAAAACAGAAATATATATTCTCTTAACGACTATAGCACAGTTATCGAAATCAGCAATTCGCATCAATGCAATAGTCTTAGCTAATCCACACTAGCTCGAATTTCTTTAGTTGTCAAAGTAATATCCTTTATAGTAAAATAAAAACCTGGGTCACATACTGACTCGAGTCATGTCATGTTTGCTTTCATCTTAATAGTAGGTCAGTCATTATTTATCTTCTATAACCTTGATGTTTCTGATTAGTAAAAACCAATTATACTTTGAATAATTTCTCAGTTTCTCAGTTTGGGTTTTTCTGATGTTTCCTCATTATTAGATTCAAGATATATATATTTGGCAGGAATATTCCTGAAGTGATGTTATTTTCGCCTCCATGTATCCCATCAGGAAATGATTGATGTTAATTTCTCCCATTACTGAAGATATTAACTTCGGTCACTTCGTCAAGGTGATGACTACCACATTTCTAAAATAACTACTTTTCCCTTTACAATTAATGTCTCCAAAGAGATACTTTAGTTATATAAATGTCACATTACATATCAAACTTTTATCCACTAGTTTTATCATCTGCTGATGATTAGATCGTAAATTATTACAATAATAGTTTCCAAATGGTGATTTCTAATTCTGCCATTTCTTCAACATGTACCAGTTGCCATTCTAGTATAAGGAGGTTTCCCTTCTCACTCAAATACTTATTTAAGTATGGACTCATTGATTCTCCTTTCATTCAGTGAGTTATAATCTGTTTCTATCTTTTCTTATTTTGATACTCAAATCATCTCAGATTTGGGGCAACTGAAAGTCTCTTCTAGCAGATTTTGTGTCCTTTTCATGTCTTTTTCTTCTTCTGTTTTTGAGTATTTTCTTTTTTTTTTTAGAAAAAAACACAGAGCTTTATTATCCTCAACACCAGGGGCAGTGGTCTCTGTAGGATAGGGGAGTGAGTTCTGTTGACTGATGGGGATAGGTGGTTCCTACTTGCTGGCGATAAGCGGATTCCACAGGACCACGATGACTGAGTCCCCATGCAGGAACATCTTGGAGATGTAGCAGTCTTCCTTGACTAGCTTGGACTTCTTCTTGCCCTTGCCACTCTTGGGTACCTCAGTCCACATCTCCTTCATGTTCTCCAGCACCATGTTGCAGTGCCTATCCAAGGCCTTCACGTGGCCCAGGAGTTTCTTATTGTTGTGGCAGTTTATGAGCACTTGGGTGTTGTTCTTGACGGACTGAGTGAGCACAAAGAGTGGACCCTTGTTAAATTCCTCCTCCTCTCGCTTCTGCAGCTTTTCCGGGGTCATCTCACTCTTGGGCTTGTCGAGGAGGCTCATGTTGGTTGCTAAGCTCTTGGTTCACTCCCCTTGAGTACTATCTTAATTTGTGGCTCAAGAAATTTCCAGTCTTAGGCCAGGCACAGTGGCTCACGGCTGTAATCCCACCCTTTGGGAGGCCAAGGCAGGCGGATCACGAGGTCAGGAGTTCGAGACCAGGCTGGCCAACATGGTTAAAACCCATCTCTACTAAAAATACAAAAAAATTAGCTGGGCCTGGTGGTGCGTGCCTATAATCTCAGCTACTCGGAAGGCTGAGACAGGAGAATTTGCTTGAACCTGGGAGGCGGAGGTTGCAGTGAGTCAAAATCGTGCCATTGCACTACAGCCTGGGCAACAAAGTGAGACTCTGCATCAAAAAAAAAAAAAAGGAAAGAAAGAAATTTCCATTCTTATCTTGTACTTATTCTGACCCAGTCCTAGAACCAGTCATTTCTCAATGAGGCCTGTTTCCTTATAAAGGAAAATAGTTTTTAGGAACCAAAATCTGAATATTATTAGACATGCTCAAAGTTCAATCCAATACTCCAAGATTCATTCTAGCTTTTGCATGTTCCATATTTGTATCTACTTTTCTCTAGCAGTGAGAAACCTACTTCTAAGAAGGAAAAAAAAGAAAAAATTTTAAAAAAGAAACCCAGTTCTGTTATTCAAAATGTATTTACTCATTTGCTTAAATCAAGAATATCCAAAAAGTAGTTTCAGAGTTTTAAAAATATTAAAAATAGAACAATTATATGATCTAGCAATCCCACTTCTGGGTATATATCCAAAGGGTATGAAATCACTATGTTGAAGAGACATCTATACTCCCTTGATCATTGCAGCATCATTCACAATAGCCAATGAATAAAGAAAATGTAGATTTTAAAATGTGGTTAAAGAAAATCATATACATAACATGTATATACAGTATACACATACACAAACACACACACACAAGAATATGATTTAGCCTTGAAAAGGGAAATACCATTATTTGCTAAACATGAATGAACCTGGAGGACATTTTGCTTAGTGAAGTAAGCCAGGTACAGAAAGACACATACTCTGTGATCTTGTAAGTGAAATCTAAAAAAGTCAAAGTCATAGAATCAGAGACTAGAATGGTGGTCGCCAGGGGCTGAGGGTTCGGGGAAAATGAGGAGATGTTGGTTAAAGAGTATAACATTTGGCCAGGTGCAGTGGCTCATGCATGTAATCCCACTTTGGGAGACTGAGGTGGGCAGATAACTTGAGGTCAGGAGTTCGAGAACAGCATGACCAACATGGTGAAACCCCGTCTCTACTAAATATACAAAATTATCCAGGCATGATGGTGCATGCCTATAATCCCAGCTACTTGGGAGGCTGAGGCAGGAGAATCACTTGAACCTGGGAGGCAGAGATTGCAGTGAGCCAAGATGGCACCTTTGCACTCCAGCCTGGGCAATGAGAGTGAAACTCCGTCTAAAGAAAAAAGTACAACCTTTTAGTTAGGATGAATAAGTTCTGGAGATCTATTACACAGCATGGTGACTATAGTTAATAATAATGTATTACACACATGAAAATTTCAAATCAATTAGATCTTAAATTTTCTCATCTCAAAAAAATATGTTAGGTGATGAATATGTTAAATAGCTTCATTTATTTCACAATGTATATCTATATGTATATCAAAACATCACACAGTAAACCATAAATACATTTAATTTTTGTCAATTATTCTTTAAACCTTAATAAAATTGAGAAAACATTCTTTAAAAAGTTTTGGATTAAAGTAGTGATAACTGGTTTTCACTTATTTCTCATCAAAAATGTATTTGAGCATTCTCCTTTGACAGGTACCACTTTGGCTCTGCCCTACTCAGATATAATAAGGTTAATCACACTCAAGAGAATGCCTTTCTGGAATTTGCAGGTTAGTGGGAGAGATTTTTTTTTTTTTTTTTTTGAGATAGAGTCTTATTCTGTCTTCCAGACTGGAGTACAATGGTGCAATCTGAGCGCACTGGAACCTCCACCTCCTGGGTTCAAGCTATTCTCGCATCTCAGCCTCCCAAGTAGCTGGGACTACAGGCATATGCCACCATGCCTGGCTAATTTTTGTATTTTTAGTAGAGATAGGATTTCACCTTGTTGGTCAGGCTGGTCTCAAACTCCTGACCTCGAGTGATCCACCCACCTCAGCTTCCCAAAGTGCTGGGATTACAGGTATGTGCCACCTTGCCCGGCTGGGGTGGGGGCAGATTTTTTTTAATGCTACACAGGCCCCAAATTTATCTCTCTGTCTTTGTTCTTGCTCTCTCCAAGACCTATTTATTTAAAAACCACAAATTTGACTTAAGGTTTTCTTGCTTAAAACCCTTTGAAATTCCCCATTATCTCACCATTTCATATTCCCTAGTATGGAATATAAATTCTTTCACAATCAGGAACTTGTTTAATTCTCTCTAGGCATTTTCTGTTTCTTTCCTGCCCACACCCCCCATATTCCAAAACCTGCTACTCTTCAACAACTCAGCCCTGAAGTCATAATCTCTTCATGAATCCTAGGTTTTGTTTTTGGTTTTTTTTTTTTTTTGAATCCTAGGTTTCAGTTAGATGACCCTGTCTGATTTCCCTTAGCACTTCCTATTTTCCTTATTATAGCACTTTCTGCATTACTGTTAGTTGTTATAATCTGAAGCCAGGCTTTGAATCCAGATTCAGATTATTCACTGTGCAACGTAACTTTTCTGTACCTCAGTTTTGTCATCTGCAATGTAAAGAAAATCACAAGATCTACCTCATAGGTTTGTTGTGAGGACAAAATGAATTGATACACAGAACAGGCTTAGGATGGCACCAGGCAAGCACATGAAGTGTTAGCTACTCACAGCAGTATTAATATATCCTTATGCCACCTTCCTGCATAGATGCTGCCAGTTTCCTTGTCTCCATCATAGCAGCCTATGAGCTATGTAGAGCCTGTGACCATGTCCTATTTCTCCTTCTATTCCTGTCTCCAAACACAGCCCAGGGGCCATGGTAGAAGTTCAGAAAATGTTTACTGAGTTAATGTAAACACAACCCTGATTTAATTTTTTGAAGGAAAGTTTGTATTATTTTAATTATTTTTATGAACAGAAAACTCAACAGTATACATTTAACCCAGTTTAGTGGCAAGTTCTTTAGGCTTTGCCTTCTCGAGCTTGGTGATGCGAGCCACAGACTTGGGACCCAGGACATTGCCTCCCCAGTGATGGCAGATCTCATCATATCTGTCACTGTAATTGGTCCTGACAGCTTCCACCAGCTTAGCCAAAGTGCCTTCGTCTTCCGAGTCAATACGTGTGAAGGCGACAGTGGTACAGGTCTTCCTGTGAACTAGACGTCCCAGTCTTGCCTTCCCCTTGATAATGCAGTAAGGGACCCCCATTTTATGACACAGAGCAGGCAAGAAGACAACCAGCTCAATGGGATCCATGTCGTGTGCAGTCACCACCAGCTGAGCTTGTTCTCCACCAAGGTGGTGACGGTGTTAACTCCTGCTCGAAGGACACAGGTGGTCTCTTACTGAGGACATCCCCTTTGCCAGCAGCTTTCTTTTCTGCCTGGGCCAACAGCCTCTGCTTCTTCTCTTGCTTTGTCCCTTGTCTGTACTTGTGGGACAGCTTAAGCTAGGTGAGTACTGTTTGACAGTCGAGGGCCTGGGTAAACTAATTAATCTCAGGAGGCAATTTAAGCTGCTTATAGAGAGTGGCTCTCTGCCACTGCAACCTGATATAGCAGGGCCATTTCATGAAGCGGGTGAGGTCTCTTTCAGGCTGGATGTCCTGTCCAATGCCAAATTTCTTAGGCCTTTTCTCAAACAGGGGATTCACCACTTTCTTGGCCTCCTGCTTCTTCACTACAAGAGGCAGAAGAATCACTTGAACCTGGGAGACAGAGGTTGCAGTGAGTCAAGATCACACCACTGCACTCCAGCTTGGTCAGTAAGAGTGAAAATTTGTCTCCAAAATAAATGAATAAACAAAATAAAATAAAATCTTTACAGGATATGTATATACACAATGGAATACTATTTAGCCATACAAAAATGGAATCCTGTCATTGGCAGCGACATGAATAGCACTAGAGGACATTATGTTAAGTGAAATAAGGCGGGAACAGAAAGTTAAACAGAATGTTCTCACTCATACTCAAAGCTAAAAAAAAAAAAAAAGCTGATCTTACAGCAGTAAAAGGCAGAACAAAGGATACTAGAGGCTTGGAAGAGTAAAGGGAAGAGAGAAAAGGGAGAGATGTGTTAAAGGACACAAAATTAAGCCAGGCACAGTGGCTCATGCCTGTAATCCCAGCACTTCGGGAGGCTGAGGCAGGTGGATCACCTGAGGTCAATAGTTCAAGACTAACCTGGCCAACATGGTGAAATCCTGTCTCTACTAAAACTACAAAAAAATTAGCCAGGTGTGGTGGCAGGCGCCTGTAATCCCAGCTACTCCGGAGGTTGAGGCAGGAGAATCGCTTGAACCTACGAGGTGGAGGTTGCAGTAAGCCAAGATTGTGCCACTACATTCCAGCCTGGGTGACAAGAGCAAGACTCTATCTCAAAATAAATAAATAAATAAATAAATAAATAAATAAATAAATAAATAAATAAATAAATAAAAGGATATAAAAAATACAAAATTACAACTAGATAGGAATGAATTATAGTGTTCTGGAGCATCGTAGGATGCCTATAGCTCATAATATTCAGTTTCAAATTGCTAGAAGGTGGGTACTGAATGTTCACAACATAAAGAAATGATAGATGTTTGAGATGATGGATATACTAATTACTCTGATTTAATTAATCACTATACATTATATATATCATATCACTGTGCACTTCATAATACGTGCAGTTATTATGTGTCAATTTGAAAAGTTTAAACAAATAAAAAATGTTAAAAGAAAAACTTTTAAACCCAGAAATGTGAGCCATACTAGATAACCCTCAGTGATTGGGTTTTTTAATCTACGTAATAGATTCAAAACAAAATGCTTCATGAACCCCTCCCAGGATTGCAATTAACAGTGGTGTGAAAAAAAAGATAATGTGATTGTTCAGAGATAATGTAATCAATCAGGGAGGAAAAGGTGTGCCCACCCTCTCTTTCTGGAGTATAAAAGGAGTTGCGGGAGGCTGGGGTTACCACTTGGTGAGCTGAGAGTGAAGCTGCCAAGGCTGAAGCGTTCTTTGGACATCTCTACCTGAAGAAGGAACACTACTACAGAGAGGGGTGAGTAGGCCACACCAACTTTCATGATAAAGGGCCCGTAAGAGCTCCTTGAGCCTTAGTTGGGGTGCATATGTGGTTGGGAGGTTTGTTTTGAAACATTTCAATGGTGATTTTGGTTTTTGGTTTGTTTGCTTTCAAATTGAGACAGGGTTTCCCTCTGTTGCCCAGGCTGGAATGCTGAGGCATGATCTCAGCTCACTGAAGGCTTTGCCTCCTGGGTTCAAGCAATTCTCCCTGCCTCTGCCTCCGAGTAGCTGAGATTACAGGTGCCCATCACTATGCCCTTCTAATTTTTGTATTTTTAGTAGAAACGGGGTTTCACCGTATTGGCCAGGTTGGTCTCAAACTCCTGACCTCAGGTGATCCACCTGCCTCAGCCTCGCAAAGTGCTGGGATTACAGGCATGAACCACCATGCCTGGCCACTGCAGGTAATTTGGACAACAACAAAAAAATAGAAAATAGAAAATAAAACATCCACAATTCACACTGATTCACAAATAGTCACTATATTCATGTTCACATATTTCTTTCCAGGCTTTTTTCCTATGTACAAATATTTTGTCTCAAAACTAGCATTATGTCATTAAAGTTCATTATTTTTAACATTATTTTATGATCATAACCTTTTTTTATGAATATTGTTGGGAACTGATGTAGTAGTTGCACAAGATTCTTCACACAGATGTACCAGAACTGTATTTAACTTGTCACCAAAGTTGCAAAGTAGTAGAGAGAACGTATATCCATGTACATTGATTATATTCAAGCCATTTTTCCTTCAAAGTATACTATTCAAGTTTGAACTACGAATTATTTCTAATATTTGACTTATTTGAAGTCCTCAGTAATTGTGTGATACAGCTTAGTTCTATGCAATCTGTTGATGGTGTCAAAGCTCTGCTTTTAACACAAGGCTGAAGTTTTGTTTTGGAAACCGTGCTTCAGTGCCATAAAGTAACGGGATGCTGTTAGTGACTTGGGTTCAGGTAGACTCCGGTGGTAACTGAATGATTTTCACACACAGTTTTGGTCTCAATGGCTGTGTGTTCATAGCGAAAGCCAAAGGTCAAGGTGCTTCCCCTTATAAATAACCAGTTACATGGGTGGCCTAAAAATAAAGTTCTTCTTGGCCAAGACAGGTTAATGAAAGCCAGTTTGGTATCCTGTCATGCAGTACAGCTATTTTAGTGCCTCAGTGTAGCTAAATTTGTCAGCCTTCCCTGGACATCAACATATATTTAGATCTTGGTGTTC